CTCTGGAGAAAAGGCTTACATAATTATGACTGTTTCTTCACAGTTTGGTGAAGAAAGCATAAAATTTTCTCACTTTTTAGATCTTGTTTTTCTGTTTCACCACTTCAATAGAGAAAATTTCTTGCTGTGACACACTTGATCTTCAAGATTTTGGAAGAGATTAGAAGAACTCATGGGGGTTAGAGCTACCGGAAGTTACTCCTGAAGGTATGTGAGCATACCAAGTGAAAGACCAAACTGTACTTCTACTGCTTGCTGTAATCTACATGTACTCCCACAACCCTGCATGGGTCATTTTCAGAGATAAAAGGGAGTGTGACCCAGTATAGTAATTCTTACTAACTATATTTAATCTCCAGAAATTTCTTTTCTGCATTTTGAAATTAACCAGCATACTTTCTGTCTTACTAATTAGGCCAACATTTCTAAAAGGCATCAGTTTGCTTCATTTTCAGCTTTACGTGTGGAGAATTATCTAATGTAACCACTGCAGCACATTTAGCTGCCTGTTCCCTATCATTTCTTTCAAGTTATTTTGATAAATGTATGTACTGATGTTTGATAATCACAGAACGTGATTTTAGAGAACATCTTTGAGATACAGATCAAGTGTTTTCACATATACTACAATTACAGAGAAAAACACTGTATGAAATTAATTCTCATTCTAGAGAATACAGCCCTCCAGGGACTGTGGACTACAAAAATGTAATGTTACGCAGAAATGCAAGTCATGAGCCCAACTTGTACCTGCCCCACTGTAGCAGACCACATCCTTTTAACTTGTGCAATACTTCATGGATTTTTCATTTACTAACAACAGCCAGCAACAGTGATTTCCATGCATTTCTATTTTTCTCCTCTAAATTTAAGGCAATTTTAAAACTGTATTGCTGCTGTCTTCCAGGTTCAGTAAGCCTAAGGGAAAATGATAATCTCATTGAAAAAGTAAATAAATAAATAGAAAGACGCAATGTACTTTTCCACAGCATACAGTCATTCCTATGTCTTTTCTACTCATCTTCCCCCTTCAAGTTAGTCTTGCATTAGACTTGCTAAATTCACTGGAGACCAAATTTTACTCAAATGTCTTTAAAGCATCTGTGTTTTCTCTCCTTTAGTAAAAAATCAGGTTTGTCACTAACTTTTTTGTCATGGGTCCATTATTTTTAAAATCTATCAGTTTACTTCATATATCATGTTAATATGACATAAGCATATTCATATTTCAATAATTATTAATATTATTTTACCATCCCTATTAATCATTCTTTTTAACTTGTCATTCAAATCTACTATAATGGAATATGTGAACTTAGTGACTAAGAATGAAGCATTATGACATGGTGTAGTCACTTATTTGTCTAGATAAAAAGGAATTGGAGGATATCTTGCATGTCTCTCCCATTTCATTTGAGATAATGATGTTTGTTTATTTTTTAGCATAGGACCTTAAACTCCTTAGATGTCTGCGGATCCATTACTTTTGGAAACATTACCTAAGCAGTGTATGAAATCATGTATTCATTTTTTACAGACACACGAGTGAGGGCAAAAATTGAAAGCGAACCTAACCCTACTCAACAGTCAAATTTATCAGCGGAGTTTCCATCCTAAATACCAAAAATACCATGTTAAATATAGACACTGAAATATGGAAATATGTTGAAGATGCATATTATATTTGAAGTATTTAATTAATAACCTTGCCTGACATCCAGTACAGTCTTTAGAAAAGCTGTTTTGGACTTTACTCCATTGATTTTAATGGAAACCAAAGGCCTATTCTATAAAATATATATAGAAGGACATATACCACAATGCAAGTGATTTGGCATACATCCATAAGTCTTGAAAGGAAGAGGCACTTAGAAGTGTGAATGTGAATTGCTTTGCAATCTGCAGTGTGGTAATATAGCTGTCAACCATATTTCATGTTGTGCAGGACTATGGATAGAAAGCATCTCTGGAAAGACATGCAGAGACTAGCAGAGACTGAATGTTTGACATCCAAATACCCACTCTGCTCCCCCTCCCTTCCCCCCCCCCCCCCCCCCCCAGTTTATTTATTTTTTTTTATCATATAGAGATAAAAAAAAATAAAGACTACCTTTCATAGAGTATGTTAAGCTTACCTAAAATATGGAGGAAAAAGTTTTTTTTCTATAGAGTTTGCATGCAATATTAAATATACAGAAAAGGAGCGAGATGGGGGGAGGGATGGAGAGTAGAGGCGGAGAGAGACAGAGAGAGGAAGGGAGGGATGAAAGGGGTGGGGAGGGAGAAGGAGAGAGAAAGAGGGAAGGAGAGGGTGGGAGAGAGAGAGAACTCATTCAGCTTTCACTCAGCCAGAAATGAGAAAGTTAGTGGTTTTGGTTTGGAGGGTCTGTGAATCCTTACACAGTTTCAATTCCTTCTGAGTTTGCACCTTTGAGTTTTACTTTAGGTTATGGGGTAAATAAAATGACACTCAGAACAATACCCATCAAGTTACCAAGATGCTCCTTTCTTCAAGATGAAATCATGAAAAACCACAAAGTCTTGGCAGCATTTCTACCTGAATTATGTGTTTTCTAACATTCACTGGCTATTTAACTTCACTGAAAAGTTTACAAATTTCAGCAAACTTCATCTGAGTTCTAGTTTTGTAGCAGATCACAAAGACATGAAAGTCACTAACTGCTTCTTCTTTCACTATGAAAGTTTCTCTGTCATTTATATGTGGCCACCCAGAAAAAAACAATACTGGCTGAATTCATGCATTGGAGTCACCTGGGATCCAAAAAAGATGAATTTTACTTCCACAGCAGAAAAACATGATTTATATTAAAGTATATTTTCTTGCTCAATTGGGTATCTCACTTTCAACTACTCTGATTTGCTATGTCTTCTGAGCAAGACACCACATTTTGCTATGGTGCAGTTTTTTCCTATTCTGTAATATCAGGATAATGTTTACTCAGCTTTGTAAAGGTGCTTAGACAATTTAGGATGAATGACTTAAAACCAATTATTACTATTACGTTGTAACAAATTTGTGAGCCATATATAGAAAAAAAAAAAGTATAGCATTCACAAATTAGGCATTTTTAAATGAATCAGGTTTTAAACATTCAGATTAAAACAAGGCGAGGGTCTGAATTATATATCTAGTAACACTGCATTCAAAACAATGTTGCTGCTCACTTGGAATTAATCCTTAAAAGTAATCGCCTTTAGAATTTTATAATCAGTTAAAATCAGTCCTATTGCAGGTGCAATCCAAAGACCTTTTCTCAAGAAATCATTAAGAAGACATCCCTGCATGCTTGGTCTGCTGTAGCCTCACTACATGCAGTATATTTCACTGCAGTTTAATATCTCCTGCTTTTCAGAAGATGACCAAAATTTAACAACAACAACAACAAAGTTTAAAATGGTAAAGAAGAAAACCATGTGTTTAATAACAGATAAAACTAGGGTCAGTGTCTGATGCACTGGCGTTTTCCCAGGCACAAGACATGTTTTCCCCAGGGGTCATTGGGTCCAGGCAAGCTGCATTCTTTCTGCCAGGCACTTTGTAATGTGCAATGAACAGTGTCATTTATTTTCATTTCCTCATACTTAATTGCATGCTTCTTGCTTCCAATATTAAGCCAGGAGGCAGGTGGTAGAAGCAGTAAACTAAAGTACTCCTAGCTGTCGGAGTTACAGACCATGCTACTCTCCTCTTGAAACAACCCAATTGTTTACAATTCAGCAGAAACTGCTGAACTGGAAAAATGCTTGCTTCCATAGCACATTCAATAGAGATTTTCCTTTTATTCTAAAAATAATAATAATAATAACAATAATAATACTCTGATACTCCGGTACTCTATGCATATCAGACACAAAGTAGTTACACTTATCAACATTTTATCACATTAATAGGAAGCAATACATTAAGCTATTTAAAAACTGAATGATCATGACCAAATGTAGGAATAAGATGTTTATTAACTATGTAACATTCAAGTTTATCACATTTGGAATTATATGAATTATTTAATTTATTGTGGAAGTTAACTTTTATTTAGTTTTCACCAATGATAAATAAAATAAAACTTTATTAAAGACCCCTTAAATAGAGAACTTAATTTCATCTTCATGGTGCACTCAAGCTGACTAGATAATTACTTCTGTCGTATTTTGATGACTTCTATAGACTAATCAGGATTTACTGGTATATTTAGATATAATGCAAAGTTCTCATGGATTGCACTTTACAATGCATAAGTTTTTTGTTTTGTTTCTGTTTTGTTTTGTTTTTTAATAGTAACATTGCTGTGCTACAGATCTGAGTTATTGCTGAAACAGATGGAAATCATACCATATAGACACAGTTAAAAGAGAATGACAAAGGGGAAAAAAAATAAGTAACAGTTAATATATTCATGATCACTTCAAAAATGTAGGTTCTCACTCCAGTGATTCTAACTCTACCCAAGTGTTTGTGAATAAAAGGTGATGTTTATTCCTGCTGCAACTATCTGACAAAGATAAATAATAAAAAACAGGCTTTCTAAGAATATTATTTGCTTATTTGTATAATAGCACATAGTATCACATCTAACAAAAATGTCACTGTACCAAAACATGCTCTTCATTTTATCTTGTTTGCAATGTACAGTTCCAGTATGTCCATTAATAACTGCAATAGTATACAACGTCCTTTGTATCAAGAACTTTGTATCAAGCTGTTCACGTTCTGTAATACCCTACTTAAGGATTACTCATGCTGTTATTTTTTGGTAAAGTTGCACACTTCAGCTGCAGGATGCATGAAAGTTCAGGCTGAATCCTACAAGTTACTCTATTTGTAAACCTTTTCTTCTTGTTTGTACACCTTCTTGAAGGCAGTGGGGCTCTGAGCAAACGATCACTTTTTTCCTTGTAAAATAAAATGGAATTACGGTGAAATGAGACATCCCATTAGTAACCTAAGAGACATCCCAGCAATAACTTAAGAACAAGCTTACCTTATTTTACAAAAATCCAGTCCAAATCTCTTGTGTCTAAAGAAAGAACATACATGTAGTTAAAGAAAAATACATACATACATACATATATATATATATATATAAAAGCAACTGGGTAAAAGTGAAGTTGTAAACACTACTTTTCCCATTTCCAGATCAACTTCAGCTGTTGAGGGATTCCTTACCTGAATTCAAATCTCTATTCTTGTACATGGTGGTCTCCCACACTTTTCTCATTGCTGAATTTGTTTATTGTCATGCATTGTCATACTATTTTTCTCCTTAAAATCCTATGTGCATCCAGAAAATCCTAATTGAACTAAATGTACAATTGCCCTAAGAAGGTAATGGAAAAAGGTTAAAATTTGGAAAACTACTTAACTGTCTAAATCATCAAAGTTTGATTTTCATGTATAACTTAGTTTTTAATAAATTAAATTCCACTTGTTTTTAGTAAAACTCAGGTTTCCAGACCTAGTCTCCAAAGGTACTCAGGAACCTCAGTAGATTTCAAAGTATTCACATAGTCTCATTAAAATAAGTGGAAATTACACATCTTTTAGCAATCCCAGTAGGTACTTTTCTCCATCCTTCAGTATTATAATCTCTTAATAAATGTGTTTTTCAAGGCCAGAGTTTTAATCCCATTAGAATACCAGGTTCTTAAGTGACAATCCAATTTGTTCTGTCTACCCTTACAATCAGTGGGGAGGGACTGAGACAACCAGAGGTGGTGGGATCAGCCTAGAATTTGGTTTTGCACACCACTTTCCATATTCAAATGGAGGAAATTAGAGTAAATGACTCCTTTTTTCACCTCAGCTATGTCCTTAAAATTAGGTGAGCTGCATCAGAGCTTAAAGACAAAAATAGTTTCTTTTAGATGTCTTTTTAAAAGAAATTTAATGCCTTTTCTCCATCACTCTGTCCAGTGTTTTTTGCTTTAGCTCCCAACCTTCCTCTCGTGATCTATTATTTTAGAACAGATTACACAGACTTCCTGAAGAACTAAGAATCCCAAATGAATGTAGGGAAGTCTTTTAAATTCTGAAGAAGGAAGGATTTCAGATGTGCCTCTGCCCTCTGGATTCCCTACTGCTAAGTTCTGTGTAACACTACTTTTGAAACATTTTGAGTTACCAAAGTCCACACACATACTGAAAAATGAGCATAAAGAACAGCTTCAGTCATTCCCCACTGCAGTAATGTACTGTATAATCACTTTTTGGATTAATGTAACAGAATTTCTTTTTGGGGTGAGCCCAATTATTGGCATCCAACTTAGATACTAGTTTCTTAACAATTCCTGGGGAGATCTAGAAATGGTGCATGGAAAGTCAGTGGACTTCTGAAAAATAAGAAAGGGTTTATCCAAAGTTCTTTAGCCTCTACAGTTAAGTCACATTAGCTTAAACAGAGAGAGATAGCTACCTTTTCCCAGGAACCACAACATAAAGTCTACTTGAAGCACTTTTTTCATGAAGAAAAAAGGAATGAGTCTTTCCTCATTCATTTTTCCCTCCCTAAGATAATCAGATGCAGAAGTATTTTATTGCTCCTGACCTGCCAGAATTCCCCCTAGGAGATAAAGAGAAAGCATGATGGTACCAATGTAGCTAACAACCTACAAGCAGAAAGAACCCAGAATTCATCACCTGATTAAACAAACAAGAAATTATGTACATATATGCTAAAAACAACAACAACAAAACATTATCAACAAAAATCTAACTGAGCCCAAATGACAACTAAGCCTCCATCTTGGCAGAAGATGTAACACCTTGTTACTAAGCTGTTAGCAGTCTCTTATCCCTGGATACCCAGGAAACCATCAGTTGGGATACTCCAGAATGTGAGTGCTAGAGGGCAAGATCTACACATGTATACTTGATAGATCAGTAAAGGCTACTGGTTTATGTTATATAGGTTAATTACACAAAAGTATATCTATTTTTATAAATTCCAGTGGTGCTTGAATGGCCTAAGAGACCATGCTAGTCTGTATGATTAAGAGTGCACGTCTCGTCCAAAAGAGACATATCTCCAGTCTGCAGACAGGATGAAGCTGCTCCTAGCCTTATCCTGTAGTTGATTCGGGGTACTATGAAATAAGGCAAGATAGATATTTTCAGTATTAAGCATATAAGTCTGTCTGTAGAGTGTAGTTGGATGTGCTTTTGAAAATTAACGGCCTTTCCCCATTGGTCTCCGCTATTCATATTTTTAAACTCCACCAAAAGTGTTGATTTTTGCAGACTGAAGACCAAAGTCCTCAACTGGAAAAATAATACAATTTAGAAAAATGTTGATCCCCCCAAAGATATTTTTATTGGACTTCACCCAATGTGCTAAACAGAGATCCCTACAGCATTAGCAAAGACAGACTGGCGTGCCTGAAACAGATTGCTATGGGCTAATAAAACAATAATACCTTCTTCATAGCAAAATCCACTCCCTTTTTCCTTCATGGACTCCCTTATTCCATGGTTTTTGACTTCCATTGTGATATTGCATTATGGACACATTCAGAGGTGGTAGAGGATTGGCTGGAACTAGAAGTATCTCAAGCTTAAAAAGAGACATCTAATATTTATATACTGAAATACCTTCTATGTTGCCATTTGAAGCACATTCAGTGCATAATCTTGCAGATCACTCATTCACAGGTCATGTCTCTATATCCATAAATTCCCAAACTGCAGTGTTTGTTTTTCATCTATCCAGATGAATACCCTAAAAAATATCACTTACCCTTTGACATGATAAATGACTCTGTGGGGATTTTATTGCTGAGATGCAATACTCTGGAGAGTCATGCAATCGTGCAATCCAATTAGTGTTTTAGATAGTACAACATCATTCAGTGAATGAATGGGTACAGCTACTTTACAAATAAGATTGTCAGGACTCTTCCCTACCTTTTTCCTCTTCCTTAGATGGTGTCTACCGACATGGATGTGCATACATACACAGAAAATACACCAATCCTGGATTTCTCCTTAGAGAGACCATTGTTTTTGTTGAATTACATTTATAAAGACTTTCCAAATTATAGACGAGGTCATTACATGGAGTATGCATTGATGAGTACATGCTGAAAATGAAGAGCAAAATATTTGTTATCCATTTCAGTTCCTATACTCCGTTTCAATTTCATTTTTACAAAGCCATTTGAAAGCAGTGGAGAATCAAGTTTCAATTCTTTTTTATTTATTTATTTTTTTTTCACATACAAATTATAAAATGCATACCCTTATTCTTTTGGTAATACAATTTAATCTACCTCAGAAGATGTGTTTTTTTTTTTTTCTATACAGTTGTTCACAGCTGAAATTTCTCAGTCATAAAGAAAACACATTTGCTACATTCCAAATGTCTACATAGGTGCACATTTGGGAGATTTCCTTTTATTTAAAGTCACAAGGAAAAATATTGGCAAAATCTGTCATTCTTGAGCGAGTTCTCAATAAAAGTTAAGTAGAAAAAAAAATCCAGGTACCTATTCTATTGAGCCTTAATTTGAGTAAGTCTAGTGTAATTCTGATATCTAATTTAACTATCATTGCTGCACAGGGTTTTCCCTATCCCTCCATATGGAAGCTTGTAAGAGTTTCAGGCAGCTTCATAACAGGGGTGGATGTTTTAAGTTATCCTTAAATTTCTTACTCTTGACCCCCAGTAAATGGACTACAAATTAGATAAAGCAACTAGTCTTGCCAAAATATGATGCAGAACTCTGCTTTTCAAGCTCTTCACCCATAAAAACTGAGTATGACTTCCTTGAGTTGCATTATCAGACCCACATGTTTTATAAACTGCAAAATGGAAGTCTATTGTGTTTGGGGTACTTCATTCGTCGATTTGCTCATTCTTTCATGTCTAACAGAAAAAATAGGCCATTGCCTCCTCAATCAGGATTACCAATTCAAAAATAATTATATTGTAGCAAAGGCACAAAATTCTGATGCAACTTCCAAAAAGTTATCATGAAGTTCTCAATTTTCTTTTTACTTCGTTCTCCCTAAAACCTTTTTCAGTATTGCAAACTCATTTACTGGCAAAATATGACTGAATGGAAGCAAGCACTTATAGTTTATCGGTACCTTTGCAGCTAAGTTATATTGAGGGAAATTGTGTTTATTGAAAAATGTATATTGAACAAAATTTGGCTAAAGTATTTTTCTGTAATCTTTGAGGTTACATAACTACAGGAGATAACATCAGTAAATGAAGGATATAATTGGCTAATTAAAACAATTTCCATTCCCATTTAGGCCTCTACTCTAAAAAGGATTTAGAGGGATTCCTGCTCTGTAATGTGCCTATGTACTCCTTTGGGCATATGCCCAATGAAATGTTTAAGGATGTACTCAGACATGTGTTTCAATGCAATGATCTGCTGAAAACAGACTTTAGCTTAGAAGAACATGTAGGGAAAAGTATCCACCATCCTTTTGGTGAAGAATCAGAAAAGAAGGCTTTTGAATTAAAAAAGAAAGGTAGATGCTCATGCCAGCCAGAAGGAAAAGCAGAAAATGCTTTCAGAGTCTGACATAATCTACTTTTTCTATCACCAGGTCCAAAGCAGTAAGAAAAAAAGTAAGGTTTATTCATGGGATCAAACACAGGAATTCACTTTCAGCATTTGCTACACAGTCTTCTTCAGAGCTCCTTTAAATCAATAGTTAAAATCTGCTTTATGAGCTAGGAGGACAGGAAAAGCTGTCATTACACTAGTTTGTATCACATCTAACCTCTACATAATTAAAACATTTTTTCATATTCACTTAGTTACTTAGAAGACATGGTCTAGTTAGTAAACTCATGATGTAGTTTAGACTATTTGTTCATTGTTTTCCTTTTTTTTTTTTTTCACTACCACAACACCATAGCAACCTAAACACCAAATATTTGTTTTCTTTCTCCAACACTGCAAGTTATTTTATGAAAATCTTTATTCAAATTGGGCAATGCATTGACTCATTCTGTTTGTCTCCCTTGTATTTATCTCTAAGGCATCTATCACCATGGTGCCTAAATGCTGCGGTATCTTAGTGTTTGCCAGCTCTGTGCATCTTGAGAGTGGTATCATCATTTTTGCCCACTTTTACGTAGCTTCTTTATACACACTGCAAGGAAGTATTATGTAAGACAGTCAAGGATTAAAAGCAAATGTTTTCTATATTAATATACAAAAATCAGTAGCAAAACTGAAAATCCCTGCTGTTTTCTTTAGTCTTTGTTTATTCTGAAAAATAGCTTCTACTGGTAGAATACACTTCGTTGGTGAAGGCATCTTGATCTCAACCCCTCTGAACTCTACTTAAAAACATTTGCATTCTACTTCCTAACCAGGTTGGATTACCACCTGCCCACACAACACCAAGCTCTCCTTATGCCTTTTTTTTTTTTTTTTTAGTACCTAATTCAGTTTACTTCCTTTCTTAAGACTCATTCAGATTACATCTTCCCCCAAAACATACTCATGACACTTCCAAACCAATGACTTCCCACAAATGACCTGTGCTGTCATGAGAACAGTGTTGTGTAAGCAAGCCTGCAGAGCTTCCAAGCTGCTGCAGACTAGACTAGGAAGTAGTAACAGTGACAGTTGTAAAATACACCTGCTGCTGATGGTAAGACTTTTTTTTTCCCTCCTTCTTTAATAACAGTTGAATGGAAAACACAGGAAGCTGTAAGTAAACTTTATACTTGAAAATACTAACTTGGCCCAAAACATTGTGACGGTGTATCTGGCTCACCTTCAAATTGAATGATTTTTCTCCCCAAATATTAAATGGAAAAAGTATTACAAGAAAGAAGTGAAATGGAAAATTGCTAAAGCTCAAGAACATAGCACACAGAAAGGCAGTATTTTTTTTTCTAACAGCTCTGAGAAGATATGAGAAAGGGAGAAGGGGTGTGGAGGAGGGGGAGAGGGAGGGAGGGTCAAGACAAGGGTACATGAAGCAGACTGAAAACAGAATGTGAAATAATTGATATTGTTATGGAAAGACTGAAAAAAAAATTAAGTAGGGGCAAAATCTACAGAGGCACTTTCAATACCATAAATATCATCCTGCAGAGTAGATTTTCCATAAAACTCTTAAATGTAATTGGCCTTGTCATCATTTAGAAAGCTGGATTTTTTCCTAGTTCATCTTGCCATGGGCCAGACAGCTTCACCTTTTTTTCCCCATAGCAAGATAAACCCTATGGGGCTTAACTTACTTACAATGCTACACTCCAGTTAAAATATAACTCTTACCCAGTGTTTCCATTGAAAATCTGTTTCTAGCCCATTGATAAAACAGGATTATTATTGGAAGGTAAATACCCTCCAAATATAGAAAAATGGGAAAATGTCACACTTTGCAGCTGTTACTGAGGATGGTAACAGAGTTCGACAGCTGTCATTTGGGGAAGTGAAAGTGCTTAATATATTACATGAATAAAGCATATTTTGCCTTTCTTAATGGAACACATATAGTAAAACACTTCCCTAAATTTAGTATTCAGACTCTTCATTGATCAACATCATTTAAAGTTGTATCAACAATAAAATGCAATACATTTTTAGTACATCCAAAGTTATATAAAACAGAGGATTTCTATGTATGTAGCACCTTACATCTTCAGAGTTTGAAAATAGCAACATCTCCATTCTCATCATCCCATTTCACTAATACAAACAACAAGACTCCTGAGACCGGATATATGTAGAAGAACAAGATAATTTAGACTTTTCAAAGTTCAGCAAACATTAGAGAGCTCTAAAATTTCCGCTTACTATATAGGAAATTTTGCCTAGATAAAAATTAGTTCCTTGTGAATTTCCCCTCTGTGGGGGTGGACACAGACATGAAATCTCTTCCCTTGAAGGAATTAAATAAGCATCACCATTTCTTTTCAGGATTACAAAATTGTTCACTGACTTTTTCATCCATTGTTTACAACCCTTGTCTCTCAAAACACTGAATAACAACATGTATCAGCTTGAAAGGACCTAGCCATATCTGTCCATCCCATAACTGACCTTTTTTTTTTTTTCTATATTTTAAAAGACTCATCAAAAAATTGGTACTTGTATTCCAGTATGGTCCGTTGTAATGAGCTAGTTTAAAATGCCATGCCATATAGATTAATATGGCTGTATGTTATATTTCAATACACGTATGAAATTGTTTATTTTGACATACTTCTTGCAGCTGACCTAGTGAAGTTCAGGATTGCTAGTATGGCCAGTTGCTATGACAGCTTAACCCTTTTGTACTGATAAAACTGTGACTGGTGTTAAATTCCTGGTCAAATTAAAAGAAGTCTATCCCCCTATATTTGAACCCTTGTCAAATTGTTTTTCATAGCCATATAACAAGTCTTTACTCCTTATGTTACTGGGGCAGCTAAAGATCCACTTTTCATTCCCAGTGTTAAAGGAATTTTCATCCTTTTAGTTCTCATGGGAAATTGTGTTAAAATTCAAGAACCTGACCTTAGGTTGCATTGAATATTCCCATTGACTTTAGGCCATAAAAAAGGAAAACTGAGGAGAAGAGTTATATTCTGTCAGAAAGAATATGGCTCCAAACACTGGAATCATCCTGACAGCTCTATTTCAGAAGTTAGCCAAGGAGAAAAAAGGGGCCAGGCATCTTGAAAATTACACACAGATAGCTCACACACATGTATACACACACAAACCATGGAGGAGAATAGAGGATAGAACCTGGAACTAAACCCTGCCAATTTATCAAGCGGCAGATGAATTATCCCCAAGAGTTTCATAGAAGCATCAGCCACCCCATTTTAAGGTGAAATTTTATTTCAATCTCAGCTGCAGCATAATCTAGGATCCATCTGTTTCCTCCATTCCCCCTCCCTTCTCCGCACAGTCCCCCTGCTCCCTTCCCAACTCACATACTGATATAATTCAGTGGAATCACTCCACCTCTAGTACCACAGGTTTCATAGGCCCTACTGGCTAGGTAGGAATTGCAGGAAGAGGGATGGAGGGAATTTAGAAAAAAAAAAAAAAAAAAAAAAAAGGAAAAAAGGAACGTGGCAAATTCATTTCCATGAGTTTTCATCCCAGTG